TATTCTCATGTTCCCGTTTTGTTTCTGTGGTGACCGAGTTACTCTCGTTTGACTTCTGTCATGAACGATTGTCAACACTTTGTTTTGAATCCTTGATGGGCAGCGTGGGCCTTTGTTTTCACAGATGTATGAATGCGGTGTCCAAGCAGGAGTTTCACAGCTTGCCGGCCTGGTTGAAGCAGATTACGTTGAACAACCTCAACCAGGCGGTCCACAATATCAACGAGTACTTGGTCCAGTGTCCAGGTCAGTGCATACAGAAAGTTTTCAGCATTTCCCTTTTCCACATTTCATGTCATTGCAAAATGGATTGAATTTTCCCTCAGGAAAATCAACAATACACCATCATGTCAATTTTGTGAGTGTGTGTAGACTTGTTGCATGTAGAATATTTGAGAAAATTAATATATTCTATTTTGAAATAAGACTAACATGACAACAATTGGGAAAAGTGAAAAAAAAGCCCTAAAAAGGGAATGCAGTAGTTCAAACGAAATGCACCTTAAACTTGACACTCGATCCTCCAGGGGAGGACACGCGGGAGTTTGGAATGGAGGAGCTGAAGAAGATAACTGACGTGGGCATCAAGGCGCCAGTCTATTTGCTGTGCTTGAGCGAGCTGAGGCGGCTCGAGCACGTGGAAGGAGTGCGAAACAACGCCATCTACAAGCTCAACTTGTGCAGCTGAGTGTTGAACTGCCCATGAGTGACACCTCATTAATACACACACACACACACACACACACAAGATAGCACCTCTTCAGCCTCTAGAGCAGCGTCGTTTGCTCTTTTATGCCCAGAAAATGTCCTGTATAGAATAAAATGCACCTCTGTATATTGGTTCTCCACTTGCTACTTTAGGGTTACAATTTTGAAATTGTATTATTCCTTCTGCGATTTTATTTGGAATTCAAAACAATGCCAATGTGTCTGAGTTACACACATTGGCAAATTTGGCCAAGGATCAGGAATTATAGCACAATGTCCTCTTTTCGGGGAGGCAGTCCTGTCTCGTTCAAAGGTTTTACAGATTTGATTTGGGGGTGGAATCTCTGGAAGTTCTCTTTAACTTGCATTAACGAAGGCTACATTTATCTCCCTGACAAAATCTAGTCCCGGGCGAGAAATGCATCACTTCAGTATTCTTCTTTGATACGAATTACTGCATTGCCTTATAGAAAGAGCCCAAAGTCTGCAGCGAATACGTAGCTTGGAAGTTTCCACAGACAAACAACCAAACACTATGAGGTGAATTTGTGAATGGTAAACTGCAATTAACTTAAACAGCATTTTTTTCTATTGATGTACATCTCTGGTCGAACTGACCTTTGGAACTTGACCGTTAATTAAAAAAACATAATGGGCAATTCACCATTTAGTACGCACATCTCAACAGCAGTTCTGTGCATCCAAGAACCCTCATGAAGCTTTCGTTTGATTCAAGACAGCGGAAATGGAATGGCCCTAGTTTGGAATAATGGTGAGTATGAGTATGTGAGACAAACATTAAGCACGATTTCCAACAAAATTGAGGAAAACTTGTGAACGTCATCTGGCCTGTCCTGTCAGCCCCCCTGTTTTGTGATTCAACCGGAGTCGGATGGATTTTAAAATCCACTGATATTAGCTGGTCCCACACCGGCCTGAAGAGTCTCGCAGGGACCGTCCTGTCCCGTGAATCCAGAGATTGAAGGCTGCGTCGGTGACTTTTCCCCATCTTGCTTTGCGTTCTCCGTCTCACCCACTTCTTGGCCCCAGGCAAAATTTGCTTTCTCACTTTTCACTCTGACTGGCAAGGGCAGGTCCGTTTTGGCATCTTTGTAGCTCTCAAGATGACTAATCAAAGCGTCGAGTAGTGTGTTGGAGAATTTCTTCATGGCAGCATTGAAGTACTCCTCCAGGAAAAGCGGGGCCTTTTTCTGCTGCGTTTCATCTCCCGAATCTTTGTGCATAACAATCTCCTCTAATGAACTCAAAGATGAGACTCTGCTGAGTTGCTCTTGGGATGATGGGCTCTGTAAATTTGACGGTGTGCCGCCTTCTGTCACATGAGCATCTTCCAAGGGGTCCTGAGACATTTTATCCAGTGTCGTGGTAGCCTGGGGATCGTCCTCGTTGGCGTTTTCCAGAATGCTCCCAGGTGCTTCAAGATGTTGCTCTGCGCTCTTTTCTCGTGCTGATAAGGGTTTAAGTTCACCATCACCATCGTACTCGTCAAGGAAGTCATCCCTACAAGGAGAAATCTGTGTAGGTGTCCTGACTGCTTCCTGTTCCTGTTGTGGTTCTGATGACAGGTGGCTCAAGGACTTGGCCACGATGGTGTCATCCTCTTTTTGAACTTCAAGATCTAAGCCCTCACAAGAAGCCATTAAGACTGGCATGCCAACATCTCTGTGCTCCATTGTTGGTGTAGAACTCAAGGATTTGAATGCAGTTTCCTTCTCTTGTTCGACATCTTCCAACTGATCCATCTCTTGGCCAGGAGATAGGACCGGTGTTGAATCTTGAAGCCGCTCCTCATGAGGGGAAGGGCTGATGGCTCCGGATACCTGGTCTTTTGTTTCCACCTCATCTTCCACAAGGTCCATGACCTGGCCAGCGGAGATCAGGGTTGTAGTTTCATCTGTGCCCTGTGCTTCTGTTTGTGATGGCTTTGACACTTTGTCCTCTTGAGCTAGGTCATTTTCATCTTGCAACATATTATCCCGCTCGAGATCTGAATCTCCACATGTGGGGGTCGAGACTGCCGTCACATCTGCATCTTCCCCTTCCGGGGGTGATGGGCTGAAGGATTTGTAGGCCGTGTCCTCATCGGCTTCTTCCTCATCTTGAAGGTAGAACGCCTCGCAAGCGTCTGCCGCCTCATCCGCATTCTGCTCCTCTGGCAGCGACGGGCTCGTCGGTTTTGATGCCACATCTTCGTCTTGTCTCTCGTCTTCGTCTATTACTCCAATGACATCCTGGTTATCCTCATCCAGACACGGTGAGGTGGGGGAGAATCCCTGAAGGCCCGTGTCCTGGTCTGAGGGTTCTATGGTGCAGTCCTTGTGCAAATCAAACCCCAACTCGGGTTCCTGAATGGCATCCTTGTGCAATCCAAAACCAGACTCGAGTTCTGGGCTTGAATCTTTGCGCATATCTAAGTTGGACTCAAATTCTGGACATGAAAATTTGCACAAATCAGAACCAGGCTCAAGTTCTGGGCTTGAATCCTTGGGTAAAAAACCCAACTCGTGGCAAGGAGAGGAGCCCAATTTAGCTTCCAGGTCTCCAGGCAGCTGCCCCTGTGGCGCGGGATTTAAGGATTTTGATACCGCATCTCCCTCTTGTTCATTTTCCATTACAGCAAGCTCCAGATTTCCGCCGGGGGACATCAGGGTAGGTGTCCCAGCGCCCTCTGCGTCACTCCACACTGAGGTGTCCGCAGACACTTTGACACTCGACTCATTCTGCAGTGGCTTTCGGGTGGGATCGATGCACAAAACGATGTTGCCGTCTTTTAGAGTGGAATCACTGTAGCGGTCCACGTGGCGGACTAATCCCTGGTAGATGGTGATGGAGGCCATTTTTATCGCCTGCTGGATATCTGGATTCAAGCGGATGGAATTGGGGGAGGGTGGTGGAGAGCCACCATCATCTTCATCCAAGGGCTTCCGAGTGGACACCCTGCGGGAATCAATGCGGGTGGATATTTTTTCACTGTGCTCCACTGATGATAATCTGGAGTAGTTTGACCCCAGCCTCTCCAGTACAATACCGCCATCCTCCTCTTGGCACAGTTCTTGACTGGCCGAGCTCCAGTTGGCCCTGATGGCAGCACCGATGTCATCATCCGAACACATAGTGCTGGGACTGGCTGTATCGGAGCAGCTCCCGTTCCTCGAGGATCCGGACGGCAGGTCCTGTTGTAAGACCTCCTTAGCAAGAGGAGACCTTCCTACACTCTCCAAGGTGCTGGATGCCCTCTCGTCAGTTAAGTTCAGCCCATCCAGGAGCCCGGAGAGGAGCATGTTCGTAAAGTCGGTGGCATCAGAAAAAAATGGGTTGGAGTTTGAATCCATTGCCCAATCTCTCAAGATCTTATCTAAAGTTTCTTGTACTCGTAGAGTAAAAAAAAACAAAAAAAAAGACTACTTCTGATATGCAAGTAAAATTTCTATCTGCTGACAATGACCCCAACCTTGAGTTTTTGTTTCTCAAACATCCAGCCCCGTCGCAACTTGGATGTAGACCTTTATGACTCCAAACATCTATCCTTCGATGATGCGACGTCAACCTCTATGATTTGCCTCATGTAGCCTTAGATGACCGCAGTTCAGTCGCCATGACTCCGAAAACAGGTTCACGTCATGTGACCAAAGCCTTTATGACTTGAAACATCAGCAGTGGCTTCACATCATCATGCTGACATCGCTCCCATCATCACGTGACCAGTAATTTGGTGACAGAAGAAAACTGTGACAGTTTTGGGTGATCTGAAAATGAATAAGTACACAGAATCTAAGTCTTGGCATCCAATTAGTTCTTATTAGATCCAAATTTACAGCTTGAAGACATGACCTTCAGTGACCACCCCCGCATCCAAAACATTTTATAAATCTGAACTTTTGATTTATTTCTGAAGATTCTTTGGCAAAGTATTTGTATTAAAAATGATTCATAGTGACATTTCAAATTGTCAACTTAAAACATTGCCAAGTTGTCCTCCCTGTCCACAGCCATGTTATTTGTGCAAACATTACGTGTCAGTGGGGTGGCCCTCTGTAATAAATGTACATTGGATCCACCTTGTATTTATGAACATTTTTACACTGACAACAGAAGTTCCAAATTCCAAACAAATCTTGTCATTTTGAACATTTATTTGCAGAAATTGAAAAAGGTAAAAAGACTTTGTAATCTTTATTGAACAAGTCAGAATACAACTCTTAGTAAACAGAAAACAAAACGAACACGTTATTAATACATACATATATATTACAAACGTTATTTTGATACCCCTCGTACTTGGTCGTTCATCACAAGTTGTTACGTCGATCGACGACGCAGCGTTCTGGAGTAACGTCGCCCCTCCCCCTCCGCACTCTCACTAGATGGCCACCATTTTGGGAGTCAAAAACACCCACCACAACTACCAGCTGCAGCTAGCGCGCTAGGCTAGGCTAGCCGAGCTTCACGCTCTCCTCCGGTGGCCTGGCTATGGTTCACACATGTGTGGTGGCCGGCTGTAGGAACCGCAGAACGCCTGGCACCGGACTGTCCTTCTACCGCTTCCCGCGGGACCCCGAGAGGAAGCAACTGTGGATAGCGGCCGTTAACCGCCAGGGCTGGGCACCCAACGACGGCAGCCGGTTGTGCAGCACTCATTTTATCTCCGGTAATGTTTACATTTTAACTCCCCGTTTTATTATTTTTGTTTTATTACCTCTGTACCAACAAGATGTTTTTTCCTTCTAAATTTTAGTTTCAGCTTCATAAACTTTTGCTAAATGTCAACAAAAACCTTTTGTATAAAAAGTAATACAATCACAGTGGGGGTCCACTGTCCTAAATGCAGAGTCAGTGCGTGGTCACGCGACACACGCACGCTCAGGTACTACCATACTTCCTGGCTTTCATTATTTTCTATTGATAGTAGCCGTGGGTTTTTTTTCATATAAAAAACTTTTGCCCTTACAATTTTACATCTGGCAGCACGCTGTGATAGTGATTTACACGTCAACCTCACAGTTTCGGGATTGGGCTTCGAATCTTTGCTCCTTGAATGGTCAACGAAACAGGCCCAGATTACCCACTCTAAATTAATTTGGGAGAAAAGTTAGATAAAATCTTAATTGTTTCACACTTCACGGCCCTCAGAGCAAAATTGCAACTACAAGGTGGTCCACAACCTAAATGAGTTTCACACCCCTGGACTATGTTGCAAAATATCCATTATCACAATGCTGTAATTAATTTACTTTCAAAATTCTATTTCTCTCTTTTTAAATTGTAAAAGCTGTAGTTGTGCTTTATTAGCTATGATTTTTTTTTTTTTTTGCATCACATCGCAACCATTTTCGATGACAAAAGTATCCATTTTTTTCCCCCTGTATCTTTTCTGTTCTCATGCAGGTAAACAAGTGAAGAATCCTCGTTCACCGGACTATGTTCCTTCCGTGTTCACGCCCATTTCCCCTGAGATGAAGGAGCCTAGTCGACCCGAGGTACCCGACAAGCAGGAAGCCCGTGTGGAAGCAGCCAATGCACTGCTCTTCCTGCAGCGCCAGGGCGGATCCGGACTAGAAGAGCCTGGTCCGATGGATGCCAACATCGAGGGCAGCGTGTCGTCATTAACAGATGATGACGACGACAATGATGACGAGTCTCTGAATGAAGACAGGGATGAAACGCTTGCACAATCTTCCGTCAACTTTGACGATGTCGTCAAAGCACTCAGGCGGGAGAATCGAGCGTTGCGCGACTCGGTGGAGAAGATGTCCCTCTCGGAGAACTCCCTTAGGAACGATGCCGAGAAGGTCAAGTTCTACACGGGGCTGCCCAACTTCTTTGTGCTGGAGACGGTCATGCTCCTGCTGGCACCGCACATGGACGCTATTAGGAACGCCAAGCTGTCCAAGTTTCAACAGCTTTTGCTCACGCTCATGCGTCTGCGCCTGGACCTGCGCAACCAGGACCTGGCCTATCGCTTCGGCGTCAGAGTGGGCACGGTGGTCCGGACTGTGCATCACGTGGTCAGCATCATGTCTTCCACCCTGGTCCCCACCGCCGTCTTCTGGCCTTCTCGAGCCGAGCTGCGGAAGAACCTCCCGGCGGCCCTGCGCTCCTCCTGCCCGGACTGTGCCGTCATTGTGGACTGCTTCACCGTGCCCTGCGAGGGACCGGTCGCCCGGGGCAACGAGCAGGGTGCGACGGCAGCTTGCAACATCTTGAACTATCTGATTGGCGTGGCCCCGCAGGGCGTGGTCACCTTCGTTTCCAGGGGCGTCCTGGGAAACTTCAGTCCTCGGAACCTGGCGGAGAGTTCGGGATTTCTGTCTAAGCTGCTCCCGGGTGACGTGGTTTTAGCCAGCCGGGATCTGGACATCGCCGATGCCGTGGCTGCTCGCGGGGCTCGCTTTGGCATCGCCGGTTGCTTTCAAGATGATCAGAGTCGGAGGGTTGAGGGTTCGCCTCCTGACACTATAGGTGTGCAGGCTCACGTGGAGAGGGTGGTGTCCATGGTTAGGCGGAGGTACACCATGCTCACCGGCCCTGTGGAGAGGCCGTTCACCACGGCTGCAGAGCGCACCTCCAACCTTTCGACTTTTGACAAGATTGTGCAAGTAGCTTGTGCCTTAAACAACTTGTGTATCTCGGCTGCACCTCTGGAGTGAGCCTGTTCATTCCTGGAAATTCTCCACTGAAACTTTGTTCGGCACAATCTCAACACCCTTTAGTCTGTTGTAATTAAAGTTTCGTTCCTGGAAATTCTCCACTGAAACTTTGTCTCAACACCCTTTAGTCTGTTGTAATTAAAGTTTCGGTCCTCGGTTTTCGGATTTCTGTGCAAGCTTTCACCCTAGCTGATGGTGATGAGGTTCTGGCCGGAATCTGGACATTGCCGTTGTGATCAAATTTTACTGAGTATTCCCTGGGTGGGGAACAGGCGCAAGAGCAGCTTGTAACATCTTAAACTGTCTTATTGGCATCTCCCGGGTAAGTCTGGGAACCGTCAATTCTCAGAACTTCGTAGAGGGTTCCAGATTTCTGTGCAAGCTTTTCCTGGGTGAAATTCTAGCCAGCTGGAATGTGGACATCCCTGTTTCCAAGGAGATGGCTTTTCATGGTAACCAGTCCGGGTCAAACATCTTTGCGCAAGATTCTCCTCAGTGATATTGTTCCAGAATTCTAGGAGTTGTCATCACCAATTTCCCGTGCTCTGAAAAGACATGGTTTGGGATCGCCGGCTGCAATGAAAATAATATTCCGAATGCGTAGACCACAGAGGACACAGACGGGGCCCCTTCACCATGATCGTACAAGTTGCTTGTGCCTTATACGACTTCAGTACCTACTGCACCTTTCGAGTATCTTGTACCACGTCAGCATGGTTCATTTGAATGCGACTATGGTGTGGAACAAATCCAACTTGTCCCTGGTCTCGGCCCAGTCGGGTTGGGGCGAGAAACCCTTCTGCCCTTGACCCCGATCCAATATGTTGACGTCAAATTGATTGGTCTTACCAAACGTGTCTTCTGTTTAGCTTTAGTGCTGTTTCACTGCTCACTTAGTACAGCAAACCTTCTTCCTGTTTACATTCTCATGACCAATGAGAGAAGAGGGTGATGTGACCCTGCTTGCTTTGTGAGGACGAATAGGACCAAAACCGTAGAAAGCAAACTACACGCTCTTAGCAGCAGTTCCCAATAAGACAGTGACGTTTTAACAACTCTAGTAAACACACTTCCCTCCCTAATGCAGCAAGAAAAAAAATTTGGGGCACTTTAGTCAGAATGATCACGTGATTTAAAGGGAAACTAAACCCAAGATATCAGCCGCTTGTTAAATAAAACTTAAAAGTATTTATTTTGAAAGATAGAAAGTGCTCTCGTTTGGGGGGGGGGGGCTGCCATTTTTAGGTCTGTTCACTCTTGTGAGAGCAACGTATCACCCAATTCCTGCCCGCTTCATTCGAAAACTATACAGTGAGTTTATTTAGCAACAAGAAATTGCCGCTCAACAATCCGTCAGCCGACAGTTCAATGGCAACGCGCTATTGTAGTTTTCAACGTCATCTCCGTTCTGCAGCTGAAAATATAATATTGATCAAAGAACAGCGTTTTGACAAGTGCTGGCACATAAAATGTATTCTTTCTTTAATTTGGGGCGGGGGGTCGTCAGTTCCCTTTAAAAACAGCCTTTGCTGTTCTAGTGCACATTTATGTAACTACACTACTGTTTTCAGGTAAATGTCTCAGCTCGGGTGATGTACCTGTACAAGAATAATGTAGTTTATGAAGTCCAGTGTGCCTTTGGTGCCTGCAGGATGCTTCAAACGTGAAAAGATATAATTTTGTGAACTTGTAAGCAGCTCTGGGTCCTAAAACTATTATTTATGCGGCTTTCGTCCTCTATTCATCTACAAAAAAAGTAACAAGAATGGGACAGTTTTTGAGATGTGGTTGTAGCGCCATCGAGTGGTGGGTTTGAATAATGCAGGGCACGCTTGCTTCGTTTTTGACCACTTCTAGGTGCGTGTAAACAACGTCTCTTTTTAGAACTTACCAAATAGATTATAATGTTAAATTTCTTATGATTTATTGAATTAATTCCTGCACTCTACATCAACGTTTATGTGTATTGTTTTGTCTTCCTTTGGGCACATTAGATGCTAAGCATTCTGTTCTGATTGTCACTTCACCTTTTCGCAATAAATGCTTTGGATTTAACACAAATACACCCATGCTGTTAAGCTACATCGTTTTTATTTTGATAAATGTGATAAATCTGCATGTTCATATGTGTATTTGCACTGTTTCCTTGTACGCTTCCCTACCCTACAACTTGACTGAATTAATAAAGGCTGTGCAGCAGTGACGAGGATCTACTTGATGTTTTAAAATATTGCACCTCTTTTCTGCACATTTAAAACATCAAAACAGGAACCCCGTGAAAACTTAATATGTCAACGATCGTTTATTATTATTCAAATTTACGTAAAAGAACTAACTTATCCGCAAACAAACTCCAGTAAGTGCAAACTAATGTTGACTTTCCTCCAGTGGGAACCTTGAAATACAGTTTATCACTGGTTATAAAGAAAACATATAGCCTATTATGGAATATTTGCTAATATGCCCACCATGACAAAAACCTGTAAAAATATCTGAAATTTTCGATCCTTGGTCTATTTCAGCATTTGGCGCAGGACTACCAACTACTATCAAGTTGCGAAACAGCATTGTACCTCAGGCGATCAGACTGCTGAATTGCAAATGGGGACATTGCAATTTTTGACGAGCACGCGTGGGCCCACTCTGCCATAAAAATGGGACCACAGCGACAGAAATTAGCGAAATGTCACTTTTGATAAGATGTGTCACTCTTGACGATAATGTTTCCGCTCGACTGTCTTTCATTTGCATTTGTCCACAGGTATTTTAGTGGCGCATTACATCCTACGCAGACGATCTTTGCGCGGCCCCGCTGTGACGCGCGTCGGTGCGGTCACGTGACCTATGGAATGTTAACAATGCAACGAGTGTCCAACTTTTTTTTTAACTTGACTTTCAGTCTGTTGAAGAAAATGGAGGCTGCTACCATCACTCCTTCTGATTCTACCCCTTTTCGCCCCTTCTGAGCCCGAGCAAGAGCTCCCAAAACCTGGCGAGGACGTTTCAAAGCAGATTTAATCGCTCCTTTTCCATCACATGGTAGGTGGACTGTACTTTTTTTGGGGAGGGGGGGGGGGCTCCTGGTGTTGCCCGTGGTGGTCTTCGCCACCAAAAGTGTTACAAAATGGCGAATCCGCCCCACTTGGGGGAAAGTTTCTGCTGTTAATTCATCTTGTAAGAGTCAAACCTCGCGACCTGAAAGTGAAGCGAATTTGGGTTTGCACATTTTCCACCGTCCTGCATGAAGGGGACAGTCGGGTAGGGGGCGGGAGGGGGTGCTAGTTAGCAACCTAGCTCACCCTGTTGTTTTTAGCTTTTTTTTGACAAAATGGTCACTGTGACTCATTTCGTGTCGTTGTTGCTTGTTTGGGGTTGGTGATGGGGATACATTCTTGGTTTGTGTCAAGAATGTTGCTGGATTAAATAAAAAGTACTTGTGGTTGCTTATACGGGTACACTGTTGTCACTGTCACGTTTGTACCCTGACACACGTTTCCCTTTTTGGACCGAAAAAGGTGCAAAAAGCACGTAGTGCTCCTTGTAGTTTACCATCCTACAGTGCATGATTCTTGTAATGTGATTTGATGATCTTGTGCTCCTGTTAAAATAAAGTGTACTGTTAGGCTGTTTGGGGCGTCCCTCAAGGTTGTATTCTTGAACTGCTGACATTTTGGGAGCAATATCATGTTTAACATTTTTTGTACAACAATATCACTTTTTTTCACCCTTTGCACACTCAAAAATAAAGATGCCTTAAAATATTGTAGTTTTGGGGGTACACAGTTTTGTCACTGCCACTTTTTTACCCATGACACCAGAGTTAAACAAATGTAAATCTGCATGTTTATTTTTTCCTTCGTGGTGTAACATTCAAAAGTTAAACTGCATCCATTCATCCATCCATTTTCTATTTCACTTATCCTCAACCCCCCCCAAAAAAACAGCAGATTTTTTTAACCTATTTTCATGTCTGTTATAAAGTTAAACTAAAGGATAAAGTATTGTACAACAGTCAAACGCTCTGCTGGCAATTAATGTCATGATTGTTCTGAGCATTTAGAAACCACAAAAAGAAGTTATGATATTTATTTTTAAATCAATTATCAGAATTCTATTCTGCCCATTATGGGAATTGCCATCTTCCTCAAAAAATCCATATCTGTCAGGGCCCTACTTTTTAGTATGCCCTAACTCAAATTCTGACTTGGAACACAAAGCAAAAAAAAAAAAAAGAAGAAGCTTGTCTGCTCCAAAAGCTTGAAAGTTGTGACACTCCTTAGTCAAGGCACCAATCGAAATTAAGATTGTCAGAAATTTAAATGTCACTGTGCACTGATATCACATTCAATGTCCATATTGTATGTCTCTACAGTACTTGGTACTCACAAAAGTCCTCTGATATTATGCAACGATACTTTAGAGATAGGAACACTTTGAGGCACATTGTGCTGTGCAAAACAGAAAATGAATTCCATTTAATGGGGTGGGTGAGTCCCAAGTATTTCAAGGGACTCTGGTGTAGTACGATTGACCTCCGAATCACCACCCCACACCCACCCCAGCCCTCTGGCTGACCCCCCTGACCCCCCACCCCCCATGTAACTGAAATATTAGCAACAGACCTTAGTCTCCGGGTCTTATTACCACTTTCCTGCATTCCATCATTATGTCAAGCGGGTAGTTTTATTTATCAATTTATTTATTTGGGGGGATGGGGGGAGTGACAGTGGCACCTTGACTTTCAATTGCCCCAACTTTAGAATCATCAGTCAACATTGTCCATATGGAATACAGTATTGATTTGATGTACAAGGACTATGAGCCACAATCTTGCTTAGTTTTTCAACACGCAAGTCAAGGTACTGTGGTGGGACGGAACTATGAATCAAATTGAAAATGACATCGCAGTATTGTCGAACGCAATTTTCAAATTGTCAAGGCTGCAATTTGTAAGATAAGAAAACCAACGTCCGCTTCGTTTCTCTCAGTCAGCTTATCCTTGATTGACGTGCTCAAGCCACACATTTTGTCGCATTATTGTTGCAATCTGACTTGTGATTTGCGCCACAGTTGTTTGGTAGAATTTGTGAGGCTATCACAATGAATGCTTGAATTGACTGCAAGTCAAACTGTTTAGTAAGTTAACAACTCTGAAGGCCTTTCTTATGATCACTGATGACTGCGCTGCACAAATATGCAGTGACACGTTGACTAATGCAACTGTGCTATGCGCGACCGGGCCAGGGGTGAAGGTGGGGGACTATGCTGGCGTGGGGAGGGCCCCCCCACAAAGGATGACATTCGTCATTGCATGAGCCATGGCCCTTCCATCTTTAGCTGTCTTTATCAAGATGCATTCTGGTCCCGTGTTCATTTTGTTGCCGTCTTTGGATGGAAATTCGGAGCAGGGACTAACTCCTTACCACCCTGCTTTCTTCCACAGGAGCAGATTGGCAGCATCATGATTTGGCTGAGTGGCACCGCTGCAAGCGGCTCCATTTCCTGGAATAAGATGGAACCTGAGCCTTGAAAGCCACACCATGGAACGTCTTTAGAACCCCTGCCGCGATCCTTCCGACAAACAAACAAGGGAGACCAATCTCGGATCTGCTTTATTATCGATTTAGGCCAGCCACCAAGGGTGGTTAACTTTGCTGCCGGACACCCGGGCACCGCGGCCATGAGGCCCAAGACGTTCCCAGCGGCGCCCTATGTGGGCAACACACGCCAGAGGCTCCAGGAGATTAAGGAGGGTCTGAAGCAGCCGGCCAAGCTGGTCAGTCAGGCCCTGCATGGAGGCGGCCAGCGGACCGAGGGCGCCGGCCGCCCCGCCGACTGCAAGGGCGGCAAGGACGCGGCCGGGCGGCAACAGCCCGTGCGACCGCCGCAAAAATTCAACAATTACCAGAGTGCACTGCGTGAGATCCGAAAGTCGCTCATGCCCTTCGCCAATGATTCGGGACCCTCGTCGGGGTCCGGGCACCCCGCCGGCGAAGTGAACCGGCAGATGCTGCAGGAGCTCGTCAATGCTGGATGTGACCAGGTGAGACACCCATTACTATGTCTTGACTTTCATTTAGTGGCGCAATGATTAATTGATTGACACGTAATCAATAGCCCGGGTTCGAATCCTGGACCTGTGCACTGTGAGGCGGACACGCTAACCGGTCGACCACCAGTAGCGCCCATGACATAACCATTTACCTATTCCAAACGATTTTGTGCTTGCTGGCCCCACGTCAAGAATGACTGAATTAGGTCACGGCTCGGTCGAGTTAAAATTCTGTCAACTTTTGACGATCGGCTACTTTGGGATGATATATCTGTAGGCCAACTGCTAATTTTGGATAACAGCTCGGGTTAGCATTCGGTTGAAGTTAGGATAATGTCAATCTTAGGTAAATTTCGGGTAATGGGTTGTTTTGGATTGCGTCTTGGGTTAATTGAAAGTTTACATTTGCCTTATGTTAATGTGAGGCTCATGGTGAGTTCAAGACTATATTTGGGATGGATATTTGCTGATTTTTGGGTTACGACTTGAGTTAGCGCAAAATTTAGGTTAGGATTACATCAGCAATTGGCCAACGGTAGCCCAAGTTAGGATAGCGTTAACATATTAGGGTCACGGATAGTTTAATTGTAAATTGTGAGCGTCACTGCTAGTTTATGATAACGTATTGGAGAGTCTCTTTATTCTTATGATTATACAATGGAGGCCATTTCCTGGCCCTCTTTGTGCTGCTGTCGCCATTGTCAAAGCAGGAAGTCGACATTCAATGGCGGCAGGGCGGATCAGTTCCTCGTCGTCGCCATCGTCCCCCCGACCACCTCTCCCCTCTACCCGTCACCGCCTCCTGTCTATGTGTGCGAGACCGCCAACCACAATACAAGACAGCAATAACAAAACAGCAATAGAACAGACGACACTTTTATGCTGTGCCGCGTCTGCGACAGCCTCGCTGTTGTTGATACACAACACTGACGCGGGATGGGGGAGCCTTTTGTAGCGTGTGGTTTGTGTGGCCTTTGTTTGTATTGTGTACTGTGTGTGGTGAGTGAGCTTTGTATTCGAGTGTGTGTGTGTGTGTGTGTGTGTGTGTGTGTGTGTGTGTGTGTGTGTGTGTGTGGGGTGGTGTTTTGTGTGTATAGTGAG